AAATATGCCCAGCTCCTTAAGCCACTCCTCATAGGGCTTGTTCTCCAGACCCTTGATCATTTTAGTCGCCCTCCTCTGGACACATTCCAGCTTGTCAATATCTCTCTTGAATTGTGGTGCCCAGAATTGGACACAATATTCCAGGTGTGGTCTAACCAAAGCAGAATAGAGCATGGGGAGCATGACTTCCCTAGATCTTGACACTAGGCTCCTATTGATGCAGGCCAAAATCCCATTGGCTTTTTTTGCCGCCACATCACATTGTTGGCTCATGTATTAATCAAGCTCATGTTTTGCTCCTCGTTCTTGGACTAATCAAGCTCATGTTTTGATCCATGCATCTTGGATTCATGTTCATGATTTATCTCTGTCTTTTTGGGACTTCTTTCTTCGCATATTTGGATTTTTACTTTTTTACTCTGTGTTCTATCAATAAACTGTTTATTACTACGTTTGGCTTCCTGGTGAGTGTTTGAGCAAGGTGAACTCCTGCTGAGGTGCAACAGCAGGATATAAATAAAGCTTATTATTATTATACTACCTCTGAGGATGCTTGCCATAGATGCAGGCGAAACGTCAGGAGAAAAATGCCTCTAGAACGTGGCCATATAGCCCGAAAAAACCCACAAGAACCTTATTATTATTATTATTATTATTATTATTACTAGCCGCCCCCTGCCACGCGTTGCTGTGGCCCACATGGGAGTTCTGTGTGGGAGGTTTGGCACAATTCTATCGTTGGTGGGGTTCTGAATGCTCTGTGATTGTAGGTGAACTATACATCCCAGCAACTACAACTCCCAAATGTCAAGATTTTATTTTCCCCAAACTCCACCAGTGTTCACATTTGGGCATATTGAGTATTCGTGTAGAGTTTGGTCCAGATCCATCATTGTTTGAGTCCACAGTGCTCTCTGGATGTAGGTGAACTACAACTCCAAAACCAAAGGACACTGCCCACCAAACCCTTCCAGTATTTTCTGTTGGTCATGGGAGAACTGTGTGCCAAGTTTGGTTCAATTTCATCGTTGGTGGGGTTCAGAATGCTCTTTGATTGTAGGTGAACTATAAATCCCAGCAACTACAACTCCCAAATGACAAAATCAATTTTTTTGAGTGAAGGACTTACATTGGGTTGTTAGGTGTCTTGTGTCCAAATTTGGTGTCAATTCATCCAGTGGTTTTTGAGTTTTGTTAATCCCACAAACAAACATTACATTCTTATTTATATAGGATTACACTGTTCAACGGAGAAAAAGTAGCGGGCCTGAAAATAGTTGTTTTTTATGATTTTGGGGGGCTGAAAACGAAAATGACATTTAAAAATTTATATTGGCTCTAGTTTTTATGATATAAGCAATCACGTATGGTTGAAAAAAATGCATGTTGCGACTTACACTATGGAAGATTCTAGAATGCTCTAGAAAGTTTGATGACGCAGTATTAGTGCCGTGTGCAAAAGTCAGAATGCCCTATATAAGGTCAGACTTTTGAATGGTGAGGGTCAGTCAGTTGAAGACTGAGACAGTATCGTTAAACATCGTTTTACATTGTTCTTTTTACTGTAGTTATGCCTCGCACATGTGTAAATAAAGCACTATGGAAAAAAGATATCAAGGCAAATGGACTCCGTCAATGCTGTCAGACTACTGCTGGAGCATTGTAAGAGACAACCCTTTCCTTGAATACAAAAGAAAAGTCAAGAGAAGCAAACAGGATATAAACTAAAGTCACGATTAAAGCGACATTTAAACTTTCAGACTTTTCAACTGCATTAGGCCTACTAATATAGTTTCTTGCTGCACAAACATAAACAATAGACTAATTAAATAAATATTTCTCATGTATAAACTATTGGCAATATAATTTGACTAAAATTTAGTAAATATTCACGGTTTATATACATGCAGTAAGGTTAGGCGCATTATCATAATATTAATGAATTACCTATTGTGGAGAAAATTGAAATAGCTGTTGCATAAAAACCAGAGCCAATTAACACATTTAATTATTATATTTGAATTCAGCATGTTAAATTTATTAAGAAATGGCACATTTTGTTTCCGTAACTGAGAAAAACTGAAAATTTGTAGAACAGTGTTATATATCAACAATTATTATTATGGGCCACCGAAGAAGAACAGATAAAAAATTGCCAGGTGAAATGGGCAAAAGATATAGGTCAGAACATCTTAACAAACCAGTGGGAAGAAATCTGGAATATTAAAATAAAATATACAGTAACTAGTGGAGGGCCACCCGTTGGGAAGGCCCTGACTGTGGGTGTTGGACTGGGTAACCCTTGGGGTGGATGTCCCAAGCTTGGGGTGGTGTGCCATACCTCCTCCTGTGTTGGTCCCGAAGCCGGAGAAGCCGCTGCCGCTCTGTGTTCCGAATCCGGTGGGTTGTTGGGAGAGGGAGCCAAAGGTGGGGGTGTTCTGGGTGGCAATGGTGCCGAAGGAGGCCGTGTTGGCCGTGCCACCAAAGCTGCAAGAGGAGAGAAGAGGGGACACTCAGAATCTCCGATGCAGCCTTGCACCCAAAGGGAACCATGGGACCCTCTCAACCCCGTGCATCCTTACCCAAATCCTCCGGCACTGGCGGCGGCGGTGCCCTCTCCGAAGACTTTGCCTGCGGTCGAGCCCAGCGGGCTTGCAAAGGCTGGGGCTGAACCGAATGCCGGCACCCCTCCGAACCCCCCGGGGGAGCCCCCAAAGGTGGGAGGGCTGCCGAACACTGGAGCAGCACCAAAGCCACCTGAGCAAAACGGAGGCAAACACAAGAAGGAAGGGGAGGGGACACAAAGAGAGAAGAGAGGCGTCAGAGCAACGCATTGGGGACCATCTCCCCAAAAAAGGAAGGAAAGCCCTCGGCCTCTGGGACAGGTTGAGGAAATCCTTGCAAAAGATGAAGGAGAAATTTACTGCCTTGAATGCCGATGGGTAAAGAGGCAGGATAAATAATAATAATAAGTACACCATGCATAAATATAATAATAATAATAATAATAATAATAATAATAATAATAATAATACATTTATTAACCACCTCTCCCTTCAGCTCAAGGCAGGATACAACATCATTAAAACAAGAGACAAAATTGATAAAAAATAGAGACAATAATAATACTAATAATGGGTTGTTGTAGGTTTTTCCGGGCTATATGGCCATGTTCTGGAGGCAATTTTTCTCCTGACGTTTCGCCTGCATGTATGGTAAGCATCCTCAGAGGTAGTGAGGACCTCACTACCTCTGAGGATGCTTGCCATAGATGCAGGCGAAACGTCAGGAGAAAAATTGCCTCCAGAACATGGCCATATAGCCCAGAAAAACCTACAACAACCCAGTGATTCCGACCATGAAAGCCTTCGACAATACTAATAATAATGGTAATGTCTCCCTACTGGGAGAAAGGCAGGATAGAAATAATTTAAATAGTAGTAATAATATTGTGAGCCACCTTGAGATCCTGTGGAGAAAGAGGTGGGATAATGATAGTAATAAATAATAATAATAAATACATTAATAATAGTTGTAGTAGTAATAATAATAATATCCGCCTCTTCCTGCAGTTTGATTTTTTCTCTCTCCCTGGACATGTGGACGCTAGAAATAATATCATACGAAAGCTGACTGGCACAACCTGGGGATCACAACCAGACACAGTGAAGACATCTGCCCTTGCGCTATGCTACTCTACTGCTGAGTATGCATGCCCAGTGTGGAACACATCTCACCACGCTAAAACAGTGGATGTGGCTCTTAGTGAGACATGCCACATTATCATGGGGTGTCTGCGCCCTACACCACTGGAGAAACTACACTGTCTAGCCAGTATTGATACCTGCTGGGAAGTAGCAGCCAATAGTGAAAGGACCAAGGCAGTGACATCTCCAGCTGTTTGGATATCAGCCAGCACATCACGACTTCAATCCTAAGATCTACAGAGACACTCGCTGGAACACCTCAGCAAGCAAGAGTCCAAAAGTGGCAGGCTCAAACCCAGAACCTCAATCAATGGCTGATACCAAATGAGAGACTCCAACCTAGGCACACAGAAGACTGAGAGACTTGGAAGGCGATGAACAGACTGTGCTCTGGCACCAGGAGATGCAGGGCCAATCTTAAGAAATGGGGCCACAAAGTGGAATCCACGACATGCGAGTGTGGAGAAGAGCGAACCACTGACCACCTGCTGCAATGCAACCTGAGCCCTGCCACATGCACAATGGAGGACCTTCTAATAGTAACACCAGAGGCACTCCAGGTGGCCAGATACTGGTCAAAGGACATTTAATCAACTACCAAGCTTGCAAACTTTGTGTTATGTCTGTCTGTCTGTTTGTTTGTTTGTTAAAAAAATGCAACACAACTATTTGATCTGCTCCTGACACGATAAATATAAATATCCTGGACATTCCACAGCTATATATAAACCCCATTTTCCAAGTTTCCAACAGACCTCACAACCTCTGAAAATGCTATAAACACAGATGGAGGCGAAGTGTCAGGAGAGAATGCTTCTGGAAAATGGCCATACAGCGCGGAAAACACACAACCACCCAGTGATTCCGGCCATGAAAGCCTTCGACAACACATTAAAAGGATGATGTAAAATATAAGGAATCTCTGCAAAATGCTTGAAATTAAATAATGCCGAACAGGCTGAAGGAATCCTCACAACATATTACATAACTACTGCTCTGGGCCAGACTGAAGACAGTTCCACCTTGTCTCCTGTGCTATGCTAATAATAATATAATATAATATAATATAATATAATATAATATAATATAATATAATATAATATAATATAATATATTGTACATACCTATATTATTTATAATATTACAATACAGCATAATACTACTAATAATGATATTATAATTATATATTTTATATTACATGTAATATTACTAATAATATTACCGTATAATGGTATAGTACAATACAGTAATATATAATACTGATATTGTGCTATGCTAATAATATAATATATTGTATGTATATATAGCTTGTAAGCCGCTCTGAGTCCCGTTCAGGATGAGGAGGGCGGCATATAAATGTCGTAAATAAATAAATAAGGTAAGGAATCCCTGTGAAGCGCTATAAATTACATATTGTGAGACATGTTTACGGAACCCTTGCAAAACATTTCGTGAGTGCCTTTGTGGCTAAAAATGTTCTAAATAATAATAATAGTAATAATAATAGTAAAGGTAAAGGTTTTCCCCTGACATTAAGTCCAGTCATGTCCGACTCTGGAGTGTGGTGCTCATCTCAATTTCTAAGCCGAAGAGCCAGCATTGTCCATAGACACCTCCAAGGTAATGTGGCTGCCATGACTGCATGGAGCACTGTTACCTTCCCGCCGGAGCGGTACCTATTGAACTACTCACATTTGCATGTTTTCGAACTGCTAGGTTGGCAGGAGCTGGGGCTAATAGCGGTCCCCGGATTCGAACCTGTGACCTTTTGGTTAACAAGCTCAGCAGCTCAGTGCTTTAACCCACTGCGCCACCAGGGGCCATAGTAATAATAATAATAATAATAATAATAATAATAATCATAGTAATAATAATAGTAATTTTTTTTTGTCGTGTCAGGAGCAACAGCTCCTGTTGTGGGAGAATCGGCCATCTGCAAGGACGTTGCCCAGGGGACGCCTGGATGATTTTTGATGTTTTATCATCCTTGTAGGAGGCTTCTCTCATGTCCCCGCATGAGAAGCTGGAGCTAATAGAGGGAGCTCATCCGCCCCTCCCCAGATTCGAACCTGCGACCTGTTGGTCTTCAGTCCTGCCGGCACAGTGCTTTAACCCACTGTGCCACCGGGGGCTCCTATTACTATTATTATTATTAGTAATAATAATAATAGTAATAATAATAATAATAATAATATACTAATAATCATAGTAATAATAATAGTAATAATAACAATATTAATAATTTCTATTTTAAGAAATGGAAGAGAAGCGGCAGCTGTCTTTTGGAAACCAGAAAGCGTTTACGATCATGGCCAAAAGAGAGAAATTGGCTTTGTCGGCTTTTTGGGCCAGTGACACATTTGAATACCGGGGTGAAATTCCACCCCGATGTAAGGGATACCCCCCATTGCAAGCACAAACCGCCTGGAAAAAGAAAGAAATACAAAAAGGGCCACGGCTGAATTATTTAGAGCAGGCCTGCACAACTTGGCGGCAGCAAGAGGCCGACAGAGACTCATCCGCTTTGTGACTGAACTTCTTTGGACTTCAGAGAGCTTTTCAGCACCTGATCTCGCAATTGCGAGAAGCGCCTTTCTCGCAGAGCAACAGCAAAGCAGATGAGCCTCTGTTTTCCCTCAACTTGGTGGCAGGTTGCACCCGTTTTCTCTTTGCACTTGTCATTCCCTGCTGTTCGTTTTCCTCCCTTTAGAGGGAGAAACGTAGCTTCGCCACGATGTTATTGCGCGGTCTTGTGTGTTTCTCGATTTTTATGAGCCTGAAGAGTGAAGGTCTGGAAGATGGGCCTCACCCCGGCACAGCAAGCACGTGGCATGGTCATTCATATCGAGGAGTTTCCCCCCGCACTGTGAGCATTTCCTTAAAAAGCAGACATTCTCAGGGGAAGTGAGGGGTGACTTGCCGGAAAGGGAAATGGTCCAAGTCAGCAGGCTGGCGATCAAATCCAATCTAAGTTGTTGCGCTGAGAGTGGTCAGGAAAGTCTGAGGTCAAGTCCAAATTGAAACAGGTAGAACAGTCAGAAGCTAGTTCACAAGCAAGAGAGAAGTTCCTAACTGCCTACTGCAGCGGAAAAAAGGAACTGGGGCGGTAGCCCCTCCCACAAGGGGAGAGTGGGCGGGGCCTCTGCCAAAATGTATCTCTTAAGAGCTTCTAGAGCTGTGTTTCTCAACCTGGGGGTCGGGACCACTGGGGGGGGGGGGGGGGGAGGAGCAGCTTAAAGAGCTGGATATAGAATCATAGAATCATAGAGTTGGAAGAGACCTCATGGGCCATCCAGTCCAACCCCCTGCCAAGAAAGAGGAATATTGCATTCAAAGCACCCCTGACAGATGGCCATCCAGCCTCTGTTTAAAAGCTTCCAAAGAAGGAGCCTCCACCACACTCCGGGGCAGAGAGTTCCACTGCTGAACGGCTCTCACAGTCAGGAAGTTCTTCCTAATGTTCAGATGGAATCTCCTCTTGTAGTTTGAAGCCAATGTTCCGCGTCCTAGTCTCCAAGGAAGCAGAAAACAAGCTTGCTCCCTCCTCCCTGTGGCTTCCTCTCACATATTTATACATGGCTATCATATCTCCTCTCAGCCTTCTCTTCTTTAGGCTAAACATGCCCAGCTCCTTAAGCCGCTCCTCATAGGGATTGTTCTCCAGACCCTTGATCATTTTAGTCGCCCTCCTCTGGACACATTCCAGCTTGTCAAAATCTCTCTTGAATTGTGGTGCCCAGAATTGGACACAATATTCCAGGTGTGGCCTAACCAAGGCAGAATAGAGCATGGGGAGCATGACTTCCCTGAATCAAGACACTAGGCCAGGGGTAGGGAACCTTTGGCCCTCCAGCTGTGGTGGACTTCAACTCCCACAATTCCTTGAGGCTCGGCATTGGGCCAAGGTAAGCCTTTGGGGCGAATGCCGAGCCTCAAGGAATTGTGGGAGTTGAAGTCCACCACAGCTGGAGGGTCAAAGGTTCCCTACCCCTGCACTAGGCTCTTATTGATGCAGGCCAAAATCCCACTGGCTTTTTTTGCCGCCACATCACATGTTGGCTCATGTTTAACTTGTTGTCCACGAGGACTCCAAGATCTTTTTCACACGTTGTGCTCTCAACCCAGGCGTCCCCCATTCTGTATCGCCAAAGACCATCAGAAAACATATATTTCTGAGTAGCTGTACCCGCCATCCATGCATCCCTCCCTCTTTCTCTTCTTTCTTTGTCTTCTTCCTTCCCTCCCTCCCTCCTTCGTTCCTTTCTTTCTTTCTTTCTTTCTCTCCTTCCTCCCCTCCCTCTTTCTTTCCTTCTTTCCCTTTCTTTCCTTCCTTCCTTCCTTCCTTCCTTCCTTCCTTCCTTCCTTCCTTCCTTCCTTCACTCCTTCCTTCCTTCTCTTCTTCTTCCCTCCCTCCCTCCCTTTTCTTTCCCTTCCTCTTAATACCTAAATAATGAAGGGTGAGGAGTTGGCGCTTTTGCCTTCGCAGGAGAAGGAGAGTGATGGAGACAAGGAAGGAAGGACAGCAGAAGAAAGAACGGAGGTCCTTCTTTCCCACAGAAAATGACTACAATCACCGCCATGTTGAGGGGTAATGGAGGCTCATCCGCTTTCTAATGGTGGAGATAGTTTCCTAATGCCCAGTGTAAGCTTCAGAATCAGAAAAGGGATCCAAACCTTTCTCATGCTTTTATGAATCTGCCTTTATAGAATCATAGAATCAAAGAGTTGGAAGAGACCTCATGGGCCATCCAGTCCAACCCCTGCCAAGAAGCAGGAATATTGCATTCAAAGCACCCCTGACAGATGGCCATCCAGCCTCTGTTTAAAAGCTTCCAAAGAAGGAGCCTCCACCACACTCCGGGGCAGAGAGTTCCACTGTTGAACGGCTCTCACAGTCAGGAAGTTCTTCCTCATGTTCAGATGGAATCTCCTCTCTTGTAGTTTGAAGCCATTGTTCCGTGTCCTAGTCTCCAGGAAGCAGAAAACAAGCTTGCTCCCTCCTCCCTATGACTTCCTCTCACATATTTATACATGGCTATCATGTCTCCTCTCAGCCTTCTCTTCTTCAGGCTAAACATGCCCAGCTCTCTTAAGCCGCTCCTCATAGGGCTTGTTCTCCAGACCCTTTATCATTTTAGTCGCCCTCCTCTGGACACATTCCAGCTTGTCAATATCTCTCTTGAATTGTGGTGCCCAGAACTGGACACAATATTCCAGATGTGGTCTAACCAAAACAGAATAGAGGGGTAGCATTACTTCTCTAGATCAAAAGGAGATTAAATTCTGCCAAAAATAAAAAAAGGGAAGCGATGAAGATATCTGGGCAAGATTTTAGTTTTCTTTAAGGGTAAAAAAGGATAGAAAGAGTCCAGGCCAAATAACAAACTGGGCGACATTCAAAACCAGAGGCTGCAGATGTTTATACACCCAAAAAGTACCAAATTCTACCCTCTTTTGCATCCAGGTAAACACTTCCTTCCTGAAAAGATAAACCGTTGCTCTATAGGAGGCACAAGGGAGCCTTCTCGGTCTCAAGAAAGATGTTTCAATCCTCAAAAGGTCTCGCATTGAAGTACATTTGGGAAACCCCAGTACCTGCTTTGGTGGGGCTGGAGAATCCAAATCCCTGGGAGGCCACACTCCCTGCGCCGGAGCTGAAGGTCCCGGCCCCCATAGGTTTCTGTTCACCGAAGGAAGAAGGGGTGGCAGTGGCAGCAGGACTTCCGAACCCAAAGGCCTTGGCCCCGCTGTTCCCAAAAAGGCTTGACGTGCCTGGGACAAGAGGGAAGGAGAGGCTGTTATCCCACACCGCCATTTTCACAGTATAAGGCAGTATATATGAGTCCCCCCTCAGGGGTTGAGAAGGGTGGGGTAGAAATGCGTGAAATAAATAAATTGTACAACTTAGGAGGAGTGAGAGGCTGGAACTAAATAGGCTAAACCTCTTCTGGCGCCTCCCTTTCCAAGCATGTATAGGAATTACTGCACAGTGTGTTGGTGGGAACACTTGAAGAACTAAAAGAGAGTCCTCTATACAAGAGCGAGGCTTCTTCCCAAGCTCGACACGTTCCTTTTTAGCTGTTCTGAATGCTGAACTGGTAGTAGCCACACATGTCCTAGGAAAGCTTCTGTTATCATCCCTTCGGCTTAGCAAAACATTACAAAGAGTATATCGTATATGGACATTGTTTCCTCTTAGTCCACATAAATGCAACATTAACTATGAATTGGGATGGATCTTGTGTGCCTTCAAGTCATTTCTGACTTAGGGAAACCCTAAAGCAGTGGTTCTCAACCTTCCTCATGTCGCGACCCCTGAATACAGTTTCTTATGTTGTGGTGACCCCCAACCATACAATTATTTTTGATACTACTTCATAACTAATTTTGCTACTGCAATGGATCATAATGTAAATATCTGATATGCAGGATGTGTTTTCATTTACTGCATCAAATTTGATACAAATATCCTATACCCCCAAATTTAAATACTGGGGGCCTTGGGGGGATTCATTTGGGAGTTGTAGTTGCTAGGATTTATAGTTGACCTACAATCAAAAAGCATTCTGAACTCCACCAATGATGGAATTGAACCAGTGTTGGAACACACAACTCCCATGACCAACAGAACATACTGGAAGGGTTGGTGGGTATTGATCTTGAGTTTGGAAGTTGTAGTTCACATACATCCAGATAGCAATGTGGGCTCAAACAATGATGAACAAACTTGGCATGAATACTCAATATGCCCAAATGTGAACACTGGTGGAGTTTTGAGAAAATAGACCCTGATATTTGGGAGTTGTAGTTGCTGGGATTTATAGTTCACCGACAATCAAAGAGCATTCCGAACCCCACCAACAATAGAATTGGGTCAAAGTTCCCACACAGAACCCCCAGGATCAACACAAAATACTATTTTTTCTGATGTTCTTTGGCGACCCCTTTGACACCCCCGCGCGACCCCCCCAGGGGTCCCGATCCCCAGGTTGAGAAACACTGCCCTAAAGCGACCCTCTGCAGGCCTTGTGCGGGCTGCATCCAGATCCTGGGCCAATTATACTCTTTTTATTATTATTACTAGCTGTACCGCCCTCCCTCTTTCTCTCCTTTCTCTCTCCCCTTTCCCGCTCTCTTTCCTTCGTTCCTTTTTTCTTTACTTCTCTCTTTCCTCCCTCCCTCCACCCCTTCTCTTTTCCTTCTTCTTTCTCTCCTTTCTTCCTTCTCTACCTCTTTCCTTTTCCCCTTCCTTTGCTCTTTGCTTCCATCCTCCCTTCTCTCTTTTCTCTCTCCTTTCTTCCCTCCCTTTTCATCCAGAGCTATGCCTTGCACACAAATCAAGATTCAGAAAAGAAGGAGAGGAATGGAAGAGTGGAGGAAGGAAATCCATCTGCGCTTACTTTGTGTGGCCGAGGAGCCAAAAGCGCTTCCGCCAGCGCCAAAGGGGTTCTTGTTGGCCGCCTCCTGGCTGGGCTTCCCTCCCAGGCCGCTGAAGAAGCCCCCGCCTCGTCCGCTGCCGCCGGACCCAAAGAGACCCGCGCCGGGTGCTGGCTGCTGTAGAAACAGACAGAGAGAGAGAGTGGCAATAAGAAGAGGGGCTCCAAAGACCCTCTGCAAGGGGCCAGGGCATTTGGAGACCTCCCCTCTTTCATTTCCATTGGGTTTCGGCTCTGAAAACTCTGTCCTTATAGTGACCAATTGGATGTTTTCCTGCCTCAGAGCTGTGATACTGGAATGCAAGGAGATCCCCTTCAAATACAGTTTGACTCCCTATCTTAGGGGTCCACAAACTTTTTAAACAGAGGGCCAGGTCACAGTCCCTCAAACTGTTGGAGGGCCGGATTATAATTTGGAAAAAAAAACCCATGAATGAATCCCTATGCAAACTGCACATATCTTATTTGTAGTGCAGAAAACACTTAAGAACAATACAATAATTAAAATGAAGAACAATTTTAACAAATATAAACTTATTAGTATTTCAATGGGAAGTGTGGGCCTGCTTTTGGCTGATGAGATAGGTTTGTTGTTGTTGTTGTTGTGAGCTTTCAAGTCGTTTGAAGACTGAAAAACTATGCTTATACTCGAGTATATACAGTAATATAATATATTGTATATACATATAATATTTACAATATTATAATGTAATACAATATAATACCACTACTACTAATAATATATTATAATTGTATATTTATATTACATGTAATATTACTAATAACATTACAATATAATGTTGTTGTACAATATAGTAATATATAATACTGATATTGTACCATGCTAATAATTTAATATATTGTATGCATATATATCTTGTAAGCTACTCTGAGTCGGAGTGAGAAGGGCGGCATATAAATGTTGTAAATAAAGAAATAAATTGTAGAGGTTTCCTTTGAGATTGAATCTAGTCGTGTCTGACTCTGGGGGTTGGTGCTCATCTCAATTTCTAAGCCGAAGAGCCAGCGTTGTCCATAGACACCTCCAAGTTCATGTGGCCAGCATGACGGCATGGAGCGCCGTTACCTTCCTGCAGAAGCAGTACCTATTGATCTACTCACATTTCATATTTTCGAACTGCTAAGTCGGCAAAAGCTGGGCCTAACAGGAGGAGCTCATCCTGCTCCCCCGATTCGAACCGCCAACCTTTTGGTCAGCAAGTTCAGCAGCTCAGCCGTTTAAAATGCTGGACCACCAGAGGGCCCTACTATATATATATGTATATAATTATATAGTATTAGTATTCATATTCATATTATTATATTATACTATACATTATTAGTTATACACTCACAGATATACATACAAAGGCCATCCCTGAGTTACAAACATATGGCTTACAAAGAACTCCTAGTGAAGAAAAATGGGGTTCAGACCACAGGAGGTGAAATGAATCTTATTATTATTTGTATTATGATATTATTTTATATATTATTTTATTATATATTATTACTATATTATTATTATATATTATTGCTAATATATATATATATATATATATATATATATATATATATAAAAATATATAAAAGGAAAAATTATTACTACATTATTATGTAATATGTAATATAATTGACTGGCTGTCCTGACACGACAAATAAATAAACTATATTATTATTATTATTATTATTATTATTATTATTATTATATATTAGGAAGTCCCTGAGTTACAAACTTATGACTTACATACGACTCGTAGTTAAGAGGGCTGAGACAACAGAAAGTTAGAAGAATCTCCCCTTGGAAGGAAGGGAAATCCACTCTTAGAAGAGTTATTATCGGGGGGTGAGGTGGAGAGGGGGGTGAGTCTCGTCTCTCACAACAAAATCTTCAAAATCCCATTCAAAATCTTCTGAAGAGGGGCGCAGACAGCAAGAAAAACTCCACAGGAGTGTCCATCCTTCCCTATGCTACCCATAGCTAAATATATAACAATAGATCTGGACCAAACAGGGAAGGAAGAAAGGTTACAGATGCTATCAATAATAACGATAATAGGAATAATAATTACCTGGCCAAAGAGGCTGCCGCTTGGGTTGGCTGCTTGCCCAAAGACAGTGCTGCTGGAACCAAAGGCTAGAAAAGGAAAAATAAATAAGGAAATTCAAATGGTGACAAGCAGAGGTTACATGAGATAGTGTTCCATTAACTGATTACAATTTGGCTATTAATCAAAGTAGGAGTCACCCAAAAAATGAACTGCATACTCCCCTACTTGACATCATCATCATCGTCACCATCACTATTGTATTATTATTATTATTATTATTATTTATTTATTTATTTATTCTCTCCTTCTCCTCATAGGGACTCATGGAGGCTAACAATGTCATCAATAATAATAATAATAATAATAATAATGATAATAATAATGATGATGATGTCAGCCACCTTGATATAATAATAATACTTATATTTCTACCCTCACCTTTCTCCCAATTGGGTCTCAATGAGGCTAACACTAACATAATCATTATTATTATTGATTATGCTATTGTGTATGTATGTATGTGTGTGTATATATATATAATGCTATTGCTTTATGTTTTTATATTATTATGTTACTGTTATATATTGTTACATTATTATTGCTTATGCTATTGTTATATATTTTATATTATTATTGCTTAAGCTATTTTTATATATTTTTTATATTATTATTGATTATGCTATTGTTATATATTTTATCTATGTATATAATAAAAGTCAGTGTTTGTATGCGGCGGAAGTGTGGCGGACGTAGGGCAGTGTATGTGCCAGCTTTCTGATTGGCTGCCACAGTGGTGCTATTTGCATATGGCCAGCCTGAAAGTTCCAAGATTCTGAGGTGACAAGAGAGGAGAGAAAAAGGGTCGAGGCTGTGTCAGAAAATTACCAATACAGACCAAACTTGGCACACAGAGCCCGCAAGACCCACTCTACATTCTACTGCAGTTTGGAGGAGGATGGACCATGGATGATGGGACTAGCAGTACCATCACTCACTTTCTGAGACCGCTGTGAACCTCATCCAATGACTGATCAAGACCAAACTTGGCACACAGAGCCCGCAAGACCAACTCTACATCCTACTGCAGTTTGGAGGAGGATGGACCATGGATGATGGGACTTGCAGTATTTTCACTCACTTCCTGAGACCACAGCAACATTCATCCAATTACCAATAAAGACCAAACTTGGCACACAGAGACACAATTCCTTTCTCAAATAACCCAGGCAGCGCCGGGTCCCCAAGCTAGTATTATTATAATTATTGATTATGCTACTGTTATATATTTTATATTATTATTGCTTATGCTATTGTCATATAGTTACATTATTATTAATTATGCTATTGATATATATTTCATATGATTACGTATACTATTGTTATATATTTTATCTTACTATTATTATTGCTTAAGCTATTGTTATATATTTTTATATTACTATTGATTATGCTATTGTTATATATTGTTACATTATTATTGATTATGCTATTGTTATATATTTCATATTATTATTGTTGATTATACACAAACATTTTTAAAAAACCAATTAAATATTTGTGTCATGGATACACGTTGCCATAAAAAAATATGATCAAAATGGCGTTTAAAACTAAATATCCTCCCCACAACCTCCCCAAAGGTCTGATGGCCAAAATAGAGGTCTCAAGTTCATACGCTTGTTGCTATGACTCCCCTTTCCAAACCATAACTCCCTGCATTCACCTGATGCCTGGCAGAAACTGAACCCGGCTGAAGAGGTTGGTGTTGTGGCGGCGCTCCCAAAGACGGAGCCGGCCTGCCCGAAAGTGGAGCTCTGCCCGAAGGCCGGGGCCCCGCTTTGGCCAAAGAGTCCCGTCGTGGTGGAGGAGGAAGAAGAGGACGGCTGGCCAAACGAGAAGGAGTTGACGGTGCTGGTGCTGGAGGGTGCCCCAAAAACCCCACTGGAAGTCGAAGAGACAGCTGGTTGGCCGAAAGTGGGGGCGGCCCCGAAAGCGGCCTGGTTGAAAGTAAAGCCGCCAGCAGAGGTGCTGGCCGGCGGCCCAAAGGCTGGCGTTTGACCGAATGACGGCTGCCCGAAGCCAGCGGTGCCAAAGGCAGTAAACCCAGTCGCGGCCGGAGGAGTCGTGACAACGGATGTGGATGCCGGGGTGGTTGCCGGTTGGGTGAAGAGTGAGGGTGCCGTCGTGGTGGCTGTTGCAGGGATCTGGCCGAAGAGGGACGCCGGAGCCGCAGGAGCATCTGTCACGGGTTGGCTGAAGGCCGAGGTGGCAGTAGACGCAGGAGGCGGCGCAAAGATGGAAGGCGCTGTGAACGCAGAGGCCCCCGTCGCCGGAAGAGACGTGCTGGTCGTTTCCACTGTGTTCGCTGGAGGAGGAGGCTGTTCCAGAGTGGGGGCCTTCCCTTCGGCCTTTGGTTCTTTTGGAGCAGCAGTGGCTGTGGTACTGGTGGCCTCCGAGGTGGCTGTGGGGTTTTCAGGGTCTCCAGGAGGAGCGACCAAAGCTGGCATCTCCGGAGGAGCATCTGGCCCCGGTGAAAGTGTTTGGGGCAAATGTTCCTCCGTTGTCGCCTCACTAGGAAGCGGCTTCTTGGGGATGGGGATGGCCGTTCTGACCTCTTCTTCTGCTTTGCTTGTTGTGGCGGAAGTCAAAAGGCTCCCAAAGGAGAGGGCGCTCGATGTGGGGGGAGAGGAAGAAGCCGGCGGGGTGGTGCCTGGTTGAATCCCAAACGCGAAGGCCGACTTTGCACTGCCCGCAAAGGCCGAAACAGGGCCTGTTCCAACCAACTGGACGCTGCCGAACACGGTGCCAGCGGTGGCTGACGTGACCTCTGTTGTCTCGGCGTTTGCAACAGTTAAGCCTGAAGGCACGGCAACTACTTTAGAAGGAGCTTTGGGTGGGCCGAGCTTGGCATTCTCATCTGCCGGACCGACTCGGAGTCCTGAGAAGCTCCCAATGGTTTCTCCGATGACAGGGAGGCCCTGAGAAAGGTGCTCTCCTTGCTTCTCCATCTTGTTTGGGGTAGAAGCAACAGGGACGGGAGCCAGGGCCACGGTGGTCGGGGGACAAGGGTCACCAGAGCCGCTTCCAGCCACAGAGGAGGCGGGAAGAGCGGCCGGTTTGGCAGACCCAAAAGCAAAGGAGGATTCCGCAGAGGTCCCAAATTTCATGCTCCCGGCAAGAGAAAAGGCATCTGGTGGGTTCGGCTCTTTCGTTGCGGCTACAGAGGAGGAAGGGAGAGAGAAAGGAAGACATTTTTAGGAAGGACATCACTCCCATAGAGTTTAGGTTTGGCTCTGGATGTTGCCATAGACTGGAGCTTTCCAAACTTTCTATGTTCGTGACATGGTTTTGAGATCTTTCACAACCTAGTCAAAACACCCTCCAGGTGTTTTGGAATCAACTACCACCATTCCTAACAGCTTCAGGCCTTTTTCTTTCCCCCCTCAGCCACTTAAGCTAGATGATAGAGTGATAGACCTAAAAGATGCCTACCTTCATGTCACGATAGATAGATATAACGCTTAAGCAGCTGAGGAGAAAACCTACACATGAACAACAACCGCACTGAACTTCTGTAGGGATCAAACCTCTCTGGAAGTTTGTAAATATAATATAATATATTGTATATACATATAATATTGATAATATGATAATATGATATATTTTCTATTGAATGTAATATTGCTAATAATATTACAGTATAATGTTATAGTACAAGGTAATATATAATAATATTGTGCTATGGTAATAATAAGAGCCCCCCGGTGGCGCAGTGGGTTAAACCCCTGTGCCGGAAGGACTGAAGACCGGTAGGTTACAGGTTCGAATCCGGGGAGTGGCGGATGAGCTCCCTCTATCAGCTCCAGCTCCTCATGCGGGAACATGAGAGAAGCCTCCCACAAGGTTGATAAAAATATCAAATCATCCGGGCGTCCCCTGGGCAACGTCCTTGCAGACGGCCAATTCTCTCACACCAGAAGCGACTTGCATTTTCTCAGGTCATTCCTGACATGACAATAATAATAAATAATAATAATAATAATAATAATATACTGTATTTACTTTTTACTTGTAAGCCGCTCTGAGTCCCCTTCAGGGTGAGAAGGGCGGCATATAAGTGTTGTGAATAAATAAATAAATAAATAGAGGCCAGGTGGCCATCCATTGGGAGGGCTTTGGCTGTGTCCTCCTGCTTGGCTGAAGGGGGTTAGGATTGATGCCCTTTTGGGGATCTCTTCCAACTCTAGGGAAGTATAGACTGCCTGGGAGTCCACGCAAACAGGTCTGTGGTAGATTAGTTTCCTTTCTTTACATTTTTTTTTTGCATTCATTCCTTCCCGTTGTATCCTCCCCGAGTCCATCTCTGCTTCTTTCCTTGCAGGAGGACAAGCTGAAGGCCAGCCTGGCCGCGATGGAGTCTCAGCTGGAGAAACCCAATTGCGAGTTGAGAGTTGGCTTTTACTCCGAAATGCTCTGAGAGGCACCCTGAGGAGACGACCTCCAGGACTTGTGGAACGGTAAAGAGAGAGGGATATTTCCATATCGAATTCTACTCTGAGTCCCACCTTCAACCATTTGCACTAAGCCGATATTTTTGAGACTCGACCCCACCTCTCTGATTGAGTGGAAGGCAATTCACAAAAGCGGACAGTATCCCATATCCGTTACCCATAACAGTATGAACAACTTTTTAATGGATTTACCTGGTAAAGCTGTAGGGCCAGATGTGGCCGGGGAGGACGTGGTGGTGGCGGCAAAGTTAAATCCAGGCCTATGTTTATTAAAAAATAATAATAATGGGGGGGGGGGGGGGGGAGAGAGAAACAAAATTTAATACATTGTTTAATTCTGTTTTAATGTTTGCATGTTGGTAGATATCAAATTGTATTAAAATGTTTTTAATGTAAGCTGCTATGAGGCCTCTTTGGGAAGAGAAAAAAGTGGGGTATAAACACAGTAATAATAGGGTAAAGGTAAAAGTTTTCCCCTGACGTTAAGTCCAGGTGTGCCCGACTCTGGGACATGGTGCTTATCTCCATTTCTAAGCTGAAGAGCCAGCGTTGTCTGCAGACATCTCCAAGGTCATGTGGCCGGACTGCATGGAGCACCATGACCTTCCCACCAGAGCTATTGATCTACTCACATTTGCGTGTTTTCGAACTGCTAGGTTGGCAGAAGCTGGGGCTAACAGTGGGAACTCACCCCACTCCCCAGATTCGAACCGCTGAGCTTTTGGTCAGCAAGTTCAGCAGCTCAGCAGTTTAACTTGCTGCTCCACCAGGGGCTCCAATATATACACACACTCACACACACACATACACACACTTTCTCTATATTTCCACAAACACAATATAATATATTATATACACACACTATACTCTCTCTCTCTCTCTCTCTCTCTCTCTATATATATATATATATACACACACACACACACACAAGCACAATATAATAAAACATTATAATATAATATGTATTGTATTGTCGAAGGCTTTCATGACCAGAATCACTGAGTTGTTGTAAGTTTTTTCAGGCTATATGGCCTCTAGAACATGGCCATATAGCCCGAAAAAACTTGCAATAATCCATAATATATATTCAGAATATATATATGTACACAATAGTTTAATTCTGTTTTAATGTTTGCTTATTTGTAGTTTAATAATAGTTTAATTCTGATTTAATGTTTGCTTATTTGTAGATTTTAAATCGTATTAAAATGCTTTTAATGTAAGCTGCTTTGAGTCTCTTTGTTGAGAGAAAAAGCGGGGTATAAATAAACACAGTAATAATAATAATATAATATAATAATAACAACAATAGTTTTCCTTTTTTCTTTCATTTTTAGTAGCATGAATATTATATTATTAGTTTTAAATTGTTGTTTAGTAAGACAACAATTATTATTATTATTATTACTACTACTACTACTACTACTACTATATCCAAAGTGTATACATTATAACATAACTATTGGTATATAAAGCCACCAATTATTATTAATAACTAGCTGTACCCGCCACGCGTTGCTGTGGCCAACCTTCCTTTCCTCTTTCTCTCCTTCTTTCCCTCCTTCCTTCGCTCCCTCTTTCCTTCTTCCTTCCCTTTTTTCTTTCCTTCTCTCTTTCCTTCCTTCTCTACCTCTTTCATTCCCCCTTTTTTTCATCCCTCTTTTTCTCCTTTCTTCCTTCTCTACCTCTTTCCTTCCTTTGCTTTTTGCTTCTATTCATACTTCTGTTTCTTCTTTCCCTCCCTTTCTCTCCTTTCTTCCTTCTCTCTTTCCTTCCTTTCTTTTTTCTTCTCTTCTCTTCCTTCCTTCTCTACCTCTTTCTTTCCTTCCCCCCTTTTTCTTTTCATCCCTCTTTTTCTCCTTTCTTCCTTCTCTACCTCTTTCCTTCCTTCGCTTTTGCTTCCATGCCTTCCTTTCTCTTTCCCTCCCTCCCTCCCTCTTTCTTTCTTTCTTTTTTTCTTTTTTCTTTTTTTTATTTTTTTCCTTCCCTCTTTTTTCCCTTCTTCCTTCCTTCACCTCTCCTTCCTTCCTTCCTTCCTTACTCCTTCTCTTCTTTCTTTTTCCTTCTTTCCTCCCTCTTTCTCTCCTTTCTCCTTCTCTGCCTCTTTCCTTCATTTTTTTCTCCTTCTCTTCTTCCTCTTTTTTTCCTCTTTTCTTCCTCTCCTTTTCTTTCCTTTTTTTCCTCTTCCTTCTCCCTCTTTCCTTCCTTCCTTCTTTTCTTTCCTCTTCTCTTCCTCTCTTCCTCCTTTTCCCTTTCTTCTCTTCCTCTTTCCCTCCTTCCTTCCTTTCTTTTTGTTCTTCCTTCCTCTCTCCTTTTCTTCTTTCCCTTCTTTTTCCTTTCTCTCCTTTCCTTCCTTCTCTACCTCTTTCATTCTTTTTCTTCTCTCTTTCTCCTTTTCCCTCCTTTCCTTCCCCCTTTCTTTCTTCTTTTCTCTTTCTTCCTTCTCTACCTTTCCTTCCTTCCCCCTTTTTCTTTCTCTTCTTCTTCTCTCTTCTTCTTTCTTTCTCTCCTTTCCGCCCTCTTCGTTCCCTTTTTCCCTGTATCGTCATTTAGCTTTTCGTTATTTAACTTTTTGGGGTTTTAAGTCCTTTCTGCTCTTTTTTTTTTTGGAGAGGGGGGATTATGAGTGATGGTCACTCGTTGGCCTGTTAGGGGTATAGTGTCCAAATTTGGTGTCAATTTGTCCAGTGGTTTTTGAGTTATGTTAATCCCACAAACAAACATTACATTTTTATTTATATAGATTATTATTGTGTTATACTACACTATTTGTTTTTGAATATTATTATTTTATATAAACACACACACACACACACGTGTGTGTATATATATATATATATATATATATATATATATATATATACACAGACCGTCCCCTGGTGTTAAGAAATGTCCCTGTTCCAACTTACATACAGATTCAACTTAAGAACAAACCTACAGAACTGATCTTGTTTGTAACTTAAGGGACTGCGTATAGTTCTCTGCAGGACATCTCTCTTTGTTTCCCTTACATTTTTATTTATATAGATAACAACAGCAACAACAACTTGATTTTTGTAGCCCACCTTCATCTCCCCAAAAGGAGTCAGGTGGCTTACATATGACACAAGGTGTCTAAAAGCAACACATAAAATAAACACACAGTACAATACAAAAAAGTAAAACTAATAGCACAAAAAACAATTTTAAAGTCTTTGAGAAGCTGGGGCCAGTGGAAAAAGTGAGAAACCCACTTATTTCCCCACTTCTCAACTATTATCGACATTTGGGCTGCAGGTGCCATTGAGTCGATGTCATGGGATTGTGACGCTTCGGATCCCAATTGACCCAATTTAAAAGTCACAGGGACTAGTCACTCTCAATCACATTTTGCAGCCTTGAAATATTGTTTCCCTGCAATTTCAATCCGGGCGAGAGACGATGCCCTTGCCGGCACTCTCCCTTATGTAACCGGAGGCTCCAGATGGTGACGGGATCATTCGGGTGCTTCCTCCTCCGCAAAGGGATTACCCTCCTTTCCCTTTCAAACAGACAATTCAGCTTCAGGGACGGGGCATTTCCCCTTCTTCCTCCCGCTGAACTCCCGCCCTACAAGCATCCACATCTATATACATAAAAATGTAATGTTCGTTTGTGGGATTAACATAACTCAAAAACCACTGGGCGAATTGACACCAAATGTGGACAGCATACACCTAACAACCCAATATATGTCCTTTGGGAGTTGTAGTTTCTGGGATTTATAGTTCACCTACAATCAAAGAGCATTCTGAACCCCACCAATTATGGAATTGAACCAAACATGGCAGACAGGACTCCCATGACCAACAGAAAACACTAGAAGTGTTTGGTGGGCATTGACCTTGAGTTCTGGAGTTGTAGTTCACCAATATCTAGAGCGCACTATGAACTCAAAAGAATGATGGATCTGGACCAAACTTGGCACGAATATTCCATATGCCCAAATATGAACACAGATGGAGTTTAAGGGAAATAGACCTTGACATTTGGGAGTTGTAGTTACTGGGATTTATAGTTCACCTACAATCAAAGAGCATTCTGAACCCCACAAACGACAGAATTGGGGCAAATTTCCCACACAGAACCCCCATGACCAACAGAAAATACTTAAGGCCACCCAGTCCAACTCCCTTCACCAGGGCAAGAAAATGTAATCAAAGCCCTCCTGACAAAGAGCCATCCAGCCATAGATATAGATAGATATAGATAGATAGATAGATAGATAGATAGATAGATAGATAGATAGATGGATAGATTGATTGATAGATAGATAGATAGATATGATTCACACACACACACACACACAGATATAGTATCATAGATTTGAAAGGGACCCCTAAAGAAGGACAATTATATGTTGCATGTTCCAGAGTAAGCAAACCAGACACTCTCCACATCAACACTGACAAAGAAACAACAAGAAATACTGTTTACTCACAAGCATAAAGAAATTACATACATTAGAAACCAACACTTTCTCATTACTTTATTTTCCAGATCACCAGACTGGGCCACAGCAACGCGTTTGCAGACTCGCTTTTTCACAGTTTTTCAAAAAATCTGAATTTAAAATATACAAGTAGCGAGGGAACATTGTATACTAGGCTTGTTTGATCCAAAAAAATGGTTCAAAACTTGTTTCGGATGTAGGGGACGCTGGTAGTTCAAATCTAAAGTCAATTCCGATTTTAACAGAAAAAAAATGTTCAAAACTTTCCGAAATTTCTGAGACTTCCAAAACCTTCGTTAATGGTTTCAAAGTGTTATTTCCTGTTTCATTGGGTGGGCTTTACTTTGAAAGTATTTGTTTTTCTCCAGAGGTGGGGAGGGAAGCAAAGGGAAGAAATCCATCCACTCTGGTTAAAACCACTTCTCTCACTTAAGACTGAAGCGGGAGGGAAAGGAATCCATCCACACTGTTTTAAACTGTCGTAGGAGGGAAAGGAAAGGAAAGGAAGGGAATCCATCCACACTGGTTTAAACTGTCACGGGAGGGAAAGGAAAGGAAAGGAAGGGAATCCATCCACACTGGTTTAAACTGTTGTAGGAGGGAAAGGAAAGGAAAGGAAGGGAATCCATCCACACTGGTTTAAACTGTTGTAGGAGGGAAAGGAAAGGAAAGGAAGGGAATCCATCCACACTGGTTTAAACTGTTGTAGGAGGGAAAGGAAAGGAAAGGAAGGGAATCCATCCACACTGGTTTAAACTGACACGGGAGCGGAAGGAAAGGAAAGGAAGG